CTCCCCGGTTCCCTGCCGCGGCCGTCGTGGGTGACTTTTTTTGCCTCCGTTATTTGTAGAAGGTAGGAGATGGCCAAGCCCGTGCGAAAGCCGTTCAGGAGGAGTCAGGCCAACTTGAAAGAACGAATAAAAGAGAGAAACAAGAAATGGACAGGGCTGGGGAAAGCCTATGAGCCCTCATCTACAAGCAGCAACGGCAGGAGTAAGATGCTTTGGTTGCCTGTGTGACAATTTGTCCAGTGCCCGTTCTTAATTTTCTGATGCCTAACAACAGACGGTTCTCTTGCAGCCAGCAACCCTGTGCGACTGAAGAGCATCCAAGCCAACAACAGAGCTCTGGCTCTGGCTTTGCAGGAGGAGAAGCTCAAAGTGAGAGAAGCCCGAGATGCCTTTCTGTGTTTAAAGGGAGAGAATCAATGCCTGAAGTTTGAGATCTTTTATTTACAAACTCGGCTTCAATCACAGCAAGTGCAGGCACCTGCTGAGGTATTTTGTACATCATCTTTGTCTTGCAGTAATGGGGAGTGTCAGAATTGGCTCCAGATAAGCCTGAGGTCTCTTTCTGAACTGTAGTTTAGACTCCTGATAAGTCAGTTAGCTACACAGAAGAGGGCTTGTTGGGTTTCCCCTGGCTCAAGTTGTTAACACTTCCTATTTTTTGCATCTCCTCCCTCTGTAAGGAGAGTTAGTGCTCTCCTTTTAATGGCTAGTCTGTGACACCTGATTTACATACAGTTCAGTTTTCTTGTAACACGACTGTGAGATATGTGGAGCTGAAAATAACTGCACCAACATGGTTTGCTCTGTTCCTCCATCAGACAGGTGTGTCGGCCTTGCTTGGGCTCCTGTCTTCAGAAGCTGCTTGGAAATTACCCTGGTCAGTTGGAGGGCCAGAAAGGTCAGGGGGTTTGTGATGTGGCAGCATCCCATCTTCCTTTCTTTGGTCTGGACCTTTACTTCTGTCTGCCAGGGAGGCTTTTGTTTTCTGAGTTTTCCGCTCCAAATACCTCTATTGCTTTCTTCCTGCAGACATCCACACAATTCGCCTGTGGAGGCAAAGGAGAGGGCTGGCCTTGAGTGCGGTAGAATTTGGGTTTCTCTTCTCTCCTGCTGCTTAATCACAGTGAAACCTTTCTTGTTGGCAGAGTGCAGGAACATTTCCTTCAGTGCCTGTAACTATTCCTGTTGTCACTGGACAAGAGCATTGTGTGTAAGTAGCTCTGATTAATTTGTCTTGTCACTTCTCTTACAGTTTTCTTACAGTGAAGGGGGGGGGGGGGGGGGGGGAGGGAGGGGGGTAGGAC